TCCACCCTCCCCGCTCGGTTTCTTAATTTTACTTTCCTTTAACAGAAGCTGTTTAATTAGCATTAGATTTTCTATTAATATGAATCTGAAAAATGTGGTATTTTGGCTTCTGTTATTATTTCATTGATTTTCTTTTGTTTTTCAGATCCTCTCTTTTAGTATAGCTAGTGTACCCTTAATCAGGTGCGTTTTCAGGCCCAAATTTGAAGAATAAACATTCACAACATCCTACAAAGCTTAAAATAGTAGGTGTGATTTTTTTAAACAAAAAAAAAATTAACGCTCAGCTCTCAAGAGCATTTTTATGAAGGAAGTGGTGTTTTTGCATGTTAGCTGTACTTCTGTAGACTTCTTGGGTTGTGCTTAAGTGCTGGCAGTGATGGAAGCTGTTAGCTGCGTGTCTGTACAGCATCCAGCTGCGGTAGCTGTCCCAAAGGTGTTTTGAATGGCATCTTTTCTGGGGGTGCCTCTGCAGTTTGATGTTCCCTCTAGTGTTTGAGGACTGGAAATGCTGAGTCTCATCTTTGTCAGGTCACTGCGAAATGACCAAACACATTCTCTAGCAGCTCCTTGAAAGCTAAGGACAGAGGTTTATGTTGGGAAAGTCAAAGGGAGGAAATGTGGCGGCTTGGCTTTATTTTCAGTGGATGTAATCGCTGCGTTATCAGCTGACTTTGTCTGTGTGCTCTGCTCTGGATGACCTTTGGAGTGTAGGACCTGAGTCTGATCAGCTTCTGTGTCATCACATCACAATTCTCCTTACCTCTCTGAGCAGACCAAACGTGGAGCCTGCCTAAGCAGAATTTGATTTCAGTGCTGCTTAGATGACTATCTCCCAAGCTATTTATTGGTTTCATCAACACAGTAAATTGTCTCAAGTCTCCTAAAGAAGTACTTACAGAGATTTCTATGGCTGATTAATTGCAACAGTTTGCTAGATAAGAATAAAGACAAATGATTATTTAAACCTGCTTATGTACCATGACTCTTTCTTCCTTGATTGTGGTAGAGTGCCAGCTGATGAAGACAGAACGACCTAAACCAAACACATTTATCATTAGATGCCTCCAGTGGACCACAGTAATTGAAAGAACATTTCATGTGGAGACTCCAGAGGAGCGGTATGTTTCATTCATATTTAATACATAAACTACTTGCAAAAGCAGATGCAAGTGTTCAGCATTAATAGCCAGTCCTTTGCTGAAGCTCTTATTTATCAGATGATGTAAGTCTAGACTGAAAAGCAGCAAATAATTTCTGAGTGCCTTAGTTTTAGCATGTGTTCCAGTATAAAAGATACCTTAAAAGGGGTTTCAGAAAGTAGATTTTGAGTAGTATTTATAAACAAAATGTTGCTGTGTTGGATATCCAAAACGGACAGCTGCAGGTGTGTACCAGCATGCAGGTAGCTATTTCTGGAAACTCAGGATTCATTTCTCACTGGCAATGTTGTCGTAAGTGAAATGAAGGGTTTCTGACTTGGGAGTTTCTGGAAGGACGAGCACAAGTGAAACAGAGATTCAGGAAAAGTTGAGTTGTATCAAAATACAAGAAAGTCTTTTTAGTCACCGTATTTTTAAAGGAAAAGTAGTTAGTTGTATCATGCTGATTGCTAAAGTTTTATGCAAATTGGATAATAAAGGTGATAGTTATCTGCTGCAGGTGCAGATTTCTGTTTCAGCTGTTAGGAAACAGAGCTAAGAGCAGGCATCCTGTACTCTCATCATTGGAGAATTGATCTCTTGCCTCTTGAGAGAACAGTTTTCCAGCACAGCTATTCTACAACTACAGAGTATTTAAATATTTACTTGCTCTTCAGGAACTGAACTTAAATTATTCCAGTACCATTGCCCTAGGGGAAGGAGGATTTTAAAACCTTTGTCCTCCCTAGATATGATGCTGGCACATGCTTATTTTTAAGATCAGCAAATTCTACCTAATATTCTTTGCTTTTTTTTTCTTTTTTCTTATTTCTTTTGTAGCCTTTGCATGCACTGATTTAAAGAAGGTTTCTGTTTATTGCTTTTGATTCTATTACAATGATCAGAAGAAGGTGAAATCAAATTAAAAGCAAAGAAAAAGAAACTAGTCCTTGTTTCTTTTAGTAGCTTTGTGGTCAGTGACCCTAAAGGGAGTGAATAACAGTTTCCACTTGGGGAAAGATTGTGTTTCGGTCTTGTCTTGTTCCCTCCTAGCCAATTAAGTCAGCTTTGTGACACTTCAGGGCTCGGAGTGTTAGTCACCTCTGTTGTGTACGCTTGCGGCAGAAAAGCCGGGGGTGAAATTCTGGTCTCCCAGAAATCAAAGATTCTTGCTTCAGGAGGGCCAAGATCTCAACCAAGTCAGTAACAAATCTTAAAAAGAGATGTGACGGTGGAAGTGCCTTCGGCTTTCTCTGTGCCTATGAAACTCATGTTTGTTTTTTGAGAGAGATGGAGAGGTAAAAATACAGAAGAAAAAGTTTTCTGTAATAGTTCTGAATATGAAAAACGACTAGTAATTAAAGGAATGTGTGATGGTGAATGAAGTACTCTGTGCGGGGAGTATAGGGAGAATGTTCGGAATGTTTAGCGTTACCTTGCTGCCCCAGACAGGGCTGGATAGTGCACGTTCACACAAAGCCCAAAATAAAAAATACACAGGGCAGGAAGCACCTTATGTGTAATTGGTGCAGTTTTTATTAGAATCTTATGTTGGGTACTTTCACCCGTGGACTTTTCTTCCTCTGGGGAATGATCTGCCTCTTCCATCCATCGTGGATGGAACTGAAATTCACGTGGTCAGATATGAGTTGGTTTGTGGTGGGTTTTTTTTAATAATTCCATAGAAGCAGTGAAAAATTTGACGTTGATTAGGATGGGATGGCTTCACTGCAGGTTGTGCATAGAGCTGTTCAGCATTGGCTACTTCTGTTTCTGCCGTAGTAGCAAAGTATTTTACCTGAGGTGTTCTTGGGAGAAGAGTTTAGCCAGTGCCTGTAAAATAACTACTATGTCCCGTTCCCTACAGATACAGAAGATACTAAAACATGGTAAATTCACATAGTCCACTGAACACGTCTTCAGCCCCTTTATGCCTTAAAACCCATCCCAAAACTCTGTAAGCCCTTATGAGTTGTATGCTTTATGTTAAATAAATTTGCAGTGAAATGAAGTGAAGGCCAAGAACTTCGCTTCAGTAGTTTCCAAAGGTGTGAAATTTCCCAAAGGACGCTGGAGCAGAAGTGGTCTCCATAGGAGTCGAAGGGGTCAGTATTAGAGCACTCATTGCTGAAACAGCTGTGGAAACGTTATCGTAACCAAGACCTGTGCCTAAGATAAAATGTCACTGCTTTTGCTGACATTCTGCTAAAATTTACACAGCAATTGCTGTGCTTGTGTCATCATCTTTAAAACAGAGGAATAACCTAACTATTCTGGGCTTTAATACCTTCTCCTAGAGCACCCCTTGCCATTAAAACTTGGGATATGGGTACGAAGAGGTGGCATAGTGCCCCCAGCAGTTGGAGATAAATGTTTCGGTGCACCATAGGAACGGAGAAGCTGTGTTTCATTGCTTTGTGCTGCATGGGACCCTTTTGCTTTTTGGTTTTGGCAAGTCTGTTTTTGTTATGTAAATCTGTATCACCAGGTCATATCTTGAGCTGCTGACTCAATGCCTGTTAGAAATTCTGTTGTCTGAAAAGCCTTATGTTGTATCCAGAGTGGGAGGACTTCAGTTGTCTCTTGTTTCTAGTAAGATTAATAAAGATGTATGTTAAAAGTGCTCTTAAAAATGCATTTTTATAGTGCTTGCAAATGCATGTAAATCATCGTATGTCATGTTGATTCATCAGAGAGCATTGGTTGCTCTCTATTCCGTGGTGACCCTTGCCATGGCAGACGGTAATCTAAAGTCACAAGTAATGAATGTCTTTGCATATATTTTGCCAGGGAAGAATGGACAAAAGCCATCCAAACAGTAGCAGACAGCCTCAAGAAACAAGAGGAAGAGATGATGGATTTTAGATCTGGCTCTCCTAGTGATAATTCAGGTGCTGAAGAAATGGAAGTTTCTATGACAAAGCCAAAACACAAAGTGGTAAGTGAACATAGCAGGAATAACAATATTTTTTAGGTCTTCTCGAATGTAGACAAGAAATAGCCATCAAGACACATCTGTTCTCATAACAATTACATAGTTGGTTGTAGATGCAACTTCTGGAAGAAACAATTGCCTGAGCTGAGCAGGTACCAGGCAGAGCCCGACTGGGTCCACCAGAGTTCTGAGTTCAGATATCCTTACTGGAGGGCTTTCAAGGCCAGCTCAGGATTGCATTTGGTTTGCCTATTTTCCTGTGTTACAGAGCCTGAAATCATAGCTCCTGCTGGACCCTGTGACCATGTAAACTCTTTGCAGGCTGGTGCAAAAATATTCCAGTGGATTTGCAGGATTTAGGGTGGGTCCAGTGGATTTAATTGCTCCAGATTAAGAGTTTAGGTTAACTCCCTGACAACTGCTGTGGTGTCTGTCCATGGTGTTCCTAGAGCTCAGGGTTTTTGTATCAGACACGGCATTGTCTGAATGCACAGGGCCAGCTCCGCAGTGGCCTTCCATGAAGGGAGTACATGCTAGAGAAGATCTTTGCCTTGTGGAGCCCTTTTAGGTATCAGTTGTCAACCTCCCTTCACTTCTTTCTACCCCCTCGTGGTCTGCTGTTTGGGCTTCCATTTTCCAAAGCGTTCCCACCTGCTCTTTTAAGAAAGAATTGATAGAACCTCTCCCATGTGAATGCCGTGTCTGTGGATTGTACCAAGGCACTTCTTTGTGTCCTTATCTCACCATTGTCGTCCCTGCTTACTCTCATAAGTTTCTTTCAGTTCTGGGAGAACCAGTGAAGTTCTTAAAGAAAAAAGACAGCCATCCACCAGTGTCATCACTACGTGTGCCAGCTTTGTGTCATGTCAGTGGTGTTAGACTGATGTGGGTGGCTACTTACATGTCACTCTGAGTGGGGGCTGCCATTAGCCTTCTGTGTCCTTGACTGAACAGGTACCGCTCCTGCTGAGCACCTCTTCACAGAAAAGCAAGAGTTGCCTCGTTGCTCAAATCCGCACATTCTTCTGAGACAGTGATGGTCTCCCTCTGGGCACATCAGTGAGGATAACCAAAATGGCTGTTGGAGTCCTGGCATCAACTGTATTGAACAATTAGCAGCAAGTCTCCTCAGCCAGCTCTAGGGAAGAATATGGAGGAAGTTTGTTGCTGGAAGCGTTTTAAATTTTTCCCCAACTGAAGCTGCAGTAGCCTTTGGCTGTGTAAGACTTACTGTTGCCATGTTGGCAATGGTCATTGATATGGCAGAACAGAAACTATCCTCAGCCTGTGACAGGTTCTGATTTTCCCCAGCATTTTTCCTAATGACGAAGCAAAGAAGGGTGAATGGCTAATCTGTGAGGCAGATGTTTTGTGTGGGGGTTTTGGGGCTGTTCAATGAAGCACAAGAAAGCTGGTCCCCTAGAGAGGTGGGGAACATCACAAAAAAGGTATGAGTTTAATCCCTGGAGTCAGAGCAACATGTGCCTTTTAGTGAATGTCTGCACTGACAGAGTGATCCAAATGTCTATGGATTAATAATAATGTTGAGTGGTATTTGCACAGTTGAGTGTTGAGTCATGTGGAAGAGTGTTCTGTTAATTGAAAGCTTATGGTTTTCCTTAAATAGTTTGATTGATTATCTTTGGGAGTGGACTGGTATTCATTTTTGTGGAAGAATCATTTCTGCTCCTGAGTTTTACTAAGCAAAGGGATTAAAAAACCCCACATATGCAACAAATGCAATGTATGAGAAATTCTAGTCTGAGAGTGATATGTACTTGTTGTTAGTTCATGTAATTCAGTTCTTGTTTATTTGTATTGTTGACAGACCATGAATGAGTTTGAATACCTTAAACTACTGGGAAAAGGCACTTTTGGAAAGGTCATTTTAGTTAAAGAAAAAGCCACCGGCCGGTATTATGCTATGAAAATTCTGAAGAAAGAAGTTATTGTAGCAAAGGTGAGTAGATGGGAAACTTGGGAATGTGGTTCACCCTTGATATGAGCATTTGGGAAAGTCATACCAAGGATTGTCTGAGTACTTGTAAATAATTGCTCCGTTAGTGTTGGAAATGGACCTCTGATCTGGGGAATCACTTTGCTCATTTCCTTCTGCTTGTGTTTCAGGATGAAGTAGCGCACACGCTGACGGAAAACCGTGTCTTACAGAATTCACGGCATCCATTCTTAACAGTAAGCATTTCTCCCTCTGCTGAGGGTAACTTGACATCATGACAACCAAGACTTTCCTTATGTTTTGTTATTTACATAATACATCCGAGATCCGTGTTTTCAGAATGGCTGTGTATTTTTCTACCCTTCCATTTTTGCAAAGCATAAATTAAAATGCTTTTTTAAGTCTTCTGATTCTTGCAGAGCAGGTCCTCAGTACTTCTTGAAGACTGTTTCAGGGTGTGGTTTGACTTTATGGCTCACCCATTTCATGGCTTGCTATCTCTGAGAGAAGTATCTGCTTTCCTTGTTCTGCAAATGCTTGGTCTCCTCTTTGTAGCAGAGATCAGGGTGACCCTGATCTTGGGACAAACAAGTTCAGGAAGATATAGTGGGGGGGAAAAAACCTTTAATTTTGCCTTTCTTTGTTATTTTTTTAAGCTCCCAGAAGCAGCTCACTATCGAATCAGAGCACTGGTAATGTGAGCCAAAGGATAGTGGTGGGAGCATGTGGGATGGGACAGGGAAGAGCAGGACTGCGCTTTATCAGCTGCTTTCCTTTTGGATTGGCTTAGCTGTAAAATCAAACCATACTCTCAGTTTAGACCTCCAGCACCAGCAGTCTCACTGGGTTGAATTCAGATACCCAACTTCCACCTCAAGATCTTGTTTCTAGTATTTATTACAAGTTGGCTCTGAATTGTTTCCAACCATGTAAGCCCTCTGAGAGACCTGTGTGGGATCCTGGTTGTTTCCTTTGTCCAGTTACACAAGGTCTTAACTGGAATTTAGACTTTTAAGCATTGCCTCTGGAAGTAAATATTGGCTGTATTTGGTATAATCAGTAAATGTTTGTTGACATATCTAAAGCCTGATCCTTCCTCTCTTTGCAAAAATACGACTGGTTTAAAAAATGCCACCCCTAGTAATGAAGATGATGATATCATATGTGGTATTTTCTTTTTAATGCTTTCATAAACCCGAATATCTAAAACAAGACCTGTCTTGAGAAGTCAGCTTCAAGACTGGGTTATGACTAGGAAACTTAAGAGGGTGGCAAACAAGTTGATGTTACTTTTGCCACAGGAATACACGTGAGAGGACCATACAAAGGCACCTTGTGACGCTTCATCACACCCTCTGTCCAGTCTGTTTTTGTGAATTGCTCACAAATTGGTATTGACAGCATTGCTCAACCCTCTGGCAGGCTGTCAAAAGGGAGCAGTTGCAGGCAGCAGGGCAGAGACCAGGGGGCTGGTGTGTGTAAATATGTGTTTCATATAAGAGGGCTTGTAGCCAGTGCGGTAAAGCCTTGTGCTCTGGGGTTTGGTTGTGGCCTCTTGTCTGTGAGATGAAACTGGGGGAGCTTGTGGCCTGGGAAGGAAACTTCAGAGCCACTGTTGGTATGTTTTGTGTCACCATTAATGGGCCAGGACTTTGTTTCACAGCGTTATAGGCATTACTGATAGCCTCTGCAAGGGATTGTTTTAAAGTTTTATTAAATTTATTTAATTAAATAAGTTGGCAGTGGATCAGACCTGAGCTGCAACAGGAAAGTGGAAATATTATATAAGATTCAAGGACAGAAAGTCCACTAAAATAGAAAATTTTATGTCTGTTTCTGAAAAAAATCTATTAAAATGCTTTTATAACTGTCAGTGTGATCTGTCTTCTAAGTTTTGGTTTAAATCTGTTTCAGGCTTTAAAGTATTCCTTTCAGACACATGATCGCCTGTGTTTTGTTATGGAGTATGCTAATGGAGGGGAGGTAAGGGAAATGTAATAATGTTTAATACTTTAGGATTTTCCTGTACTACTACTAATTCTGCTTGACTTCATTTAGTTAAGGTTCACGTTTGCAATTCTAATTAATGCAAGTTGTCCCACTTAGAGCTCTTTGCTGGTTTAACTAATACTAAGAATTAAAGCTCTTAATTTTCTTCACTCCATTTTTAGAGAATAGAGGTTTTTGGGTGCAAGTTCGTATTTTACATGACAGCAACTTATTGTAATCTGACATTTAGTAATTCAAGAACACAAGGTTGCTTTCTAGTTGCTCTACAGACAGCTTTTAACACTTTTTAATGAATATTGTGCGCACGTGCTACTTTGGAGGGAGAACAAGAAACAGGAAACTACTGTTAGTCAAGAGGGAAAAATTAGAATATTAACATGTCTCTAAATCATGCATTAAGCTGTAGTTTTAATATGTAATTGTTGTTCAGTCAAAATAGTTTTTTATAATTTTCTGTGCATACAAGACTGTGCAGCACAAAAACTGGTTATCAGTGTACATCTGTGAATCCGAGATAGAGTTGTCTAGTCATTTAATTTATTATGCCTTTTAACACATTTGGGAACACAGCTGGGTGAGGATGGGAAGGGGTTTTCTCTTAGGTAATATCGCATTCCAAGCAGTGGCCTATGCAGCGCGAGACATAACCTAGAAACCTGTGCAATCTAAAGGTAACAAATTGTTCTTCTTGTAGTTGTTTTTCCATCTGTCAAGAGAGCGTGTGTTTTCTGAAGACCGGGCTCGGTTTTATGGAGCTGAGATTGTTTCAGCACTGGATTACCTGCATTCAGAGAAGAACGTGGTTTATAGAGATTTGAAGGTACGTTGAGAAATAATTTCATAGGCTTTCTGGTTTTGGGCTTTTTGTTTGTTAGTCACAAAAGCAAATGAGCCTGAACTATAAGAAAACCTTTCCTGACTGAACTTTAACATAGTGGTTATTGCAGCTGTTGAACTTGAGTTTACAGGCTCTCTAAACACTTTTATAGTTTAAGAGGTGGTATAATGCATTTATCAGGACCCTGGCAGCATTTCAGAGGATACGAAGAGGTACTGAGCTACTTGGGTTGCATTTTCAGTTGCCTGCTTATGTTCTAAGGGAAACCTTGCTGCCTCTTCTGCATGGTGGAATATAATCCTGGGCTCTTCGTCCCAGGTCTTATCAGATAGATGCAAATTCATACTGTTGATGATGTGCTTCCTTGCAAAGTGTTGCACGGTGCTATCTTCATAGTACCTGCTTGCAGTTAGAGAATAGGATAAGGTTCAAGTTCCTTTGTTTGGTGAGCAGAGAAGGGAAAAAAAACAAATAAACAAGAAATCTCAGGGCAAACAAACTTGAAAAATTATTGAGGAAAATGCAACAGTAGCATTTTTTTTTCTTTCCTGAGAAGTATTTTCAGAAGATGGGTGGATACTGATAGTTCATTTAAGAGCAGTTAAAAATGAAGCATGCTATGTAATGTTTTCAGGCTACATCAAAGTCATTTTGGGATTCCT